TTTTTTAAAAAAAGAGTCAACATATATTTTTATGAGGTATTTATAGGGTACACTAGAGGCCTGATGCACGAAATTCATGCAAGAGTAGGCCTTGTTTCCCCCGGCTGCCAGCACCAGCTTCTTTCCTGCACCCGGGACCCAGGCTTCCCTCCAGCTGCAGGCAGGCACCTGGGTCGCAGCCCCAGCTTCGTCCTGAATGACATCTGGTCTAAATAGCATATTACGCTTTTATTATTATAGTGATTTGATATACATATACGTTGTGAAGGTATTCTGCTCATGTAATTAACACATCCATCACCTCATGTATTTATCTTCTTTTGTGTGTGTGAGAACAAGTCCTTCTCTCAGCATAGTTCAATTATACAATACTGTGTTATCAATTCTAGTCACCAGGTTATACATTAGATCCTCAGACCTTTCATCTCATAGCTAGAAGTTTACAACCGCATATCAACATCTCCCTATTTCCTCCACCATCAACCTCTGGCAACCACTTTTCTACTATTTTTCTATATTTCCTTTTTCTTGTTTAGACTCCCTATATAAGTAATAGTATGCACTATTTGTCTTTCTCTGTCTGGCTTATTTAGCTTAGTATACTGCCTTCATGGTCCATTTATAATGTAACCAACAATTTCCTTCTTTTTCATAGCTGAATAATATTCGTGTGTGTGTGTGTGTGTGTGTGTGTGTGTGTGTGTGTCTTACTCATCTTTTGAGGGACACCAAGGTTGTTTCCATATCTTGTCATTGTGAATAATGTGCAACAAACACGAAAGTACAGATATCTTTTCAATATCCTGTTTTAATTTCCTTTGGATATAGTATACCCAGAACTGGGACTGCTGGATCATGTGATAGTTCTATTTTTAATTTTTTTGAGGAAATGCACACTTTCTTCCATAATGGCTCTAACAATTTAAATTCCTACCAAAACTGTACATGTCTCCTTTCCCCCACATCCTTGCCAAATTCGTTATCTCTTGTCCTTTTGATGATAGGCATTCCACTGGATGTTAGGTGGTATTGCACTGTGGTTTCGATTTGCTTTTCCCTGATGATTAGTGATGCTGAACCCCTTTCCATGGACCTGTAGTCCTTTTGTATGTCTTTGGAAAATGTCTCTTCAGAGCTCTTCCCATTTTTTAAAAATATTTTATTGATTTTTACAGAGAGGAAGGGAGAGGGATAAAGAGTTAGAAACATCCATGAGAGAGAAACATCTATCAGCTGCCTCCTGCACATCTCCTACTGGGGATGTGCCTGCAACCAAGGTACATGCCCTTGACTGGAATCGAACCTGGGACCCTTCAGTCCACAGGCCGACGGTCTATCCACTGAGCCAAACCAGTCAGGGCACTCTTCCCATTTTTTATCTGAGATGTGTGAGTTCTCTACATATTTTGGATATTAACCCCTTATCAGACATATGATTTCCAAATATTTTATCCCATTCTGTACACTGCATTTTAATTTTGTTGATGCTTTTCTTTATTGTGCAGAAGCTTTTAGTGTGAGGTACTCCCACCTGTTATTTTCAATTCTGCTTTTGGTGTGTACCCCCCAAAAATCATGGTCAAAACAAATATCAAGGATGTTTTCCTTTTTGGTAGCTTATTGTGAGTGTATAAACATACAATTGAGTTTTTGAACATTGATTTTGAATCCTGAGACTTTACTTAATTTTTTTATTAATTCTAAAAGCTTTTAATGGAGTCTTTAGTGTTTTCTATATATATTATCATGACATCCGTAAATAGGGACCATTTTACTTCTTCCTTTCCAATTCGGATAACTTTTATTTCGTTTTGTTGCCTAACTGCTCTGACTAGAGCTCCAGGTAATATTTTGAATAAAAGTATCAAGAGTGGGCATCCTTGTCTTTTTGACTGTTCTTAGTGGAAAAGCTTTCTGTTTTTCATCATCAAGTATTTTAGCTTTGGGCTTGTCATAGATGGCCTTTACTTGGTTGTAGTCTTTCCCTGTATATACATGCTGTTGAAAGTTTCCATAATAATTGGATGTTGAATTTTTGTCAAATGCTATTTATCTCTCTTCAGGTCTGTTCATATTTGCTATTCATTTAAGTGATCCTATGTTAGGTGTATAAATACTTACAAATGCAATATCATCTTGTTGGATTGACCTTTTAATCATTATATTTCACTTTGTCTGTTGTGACCATTAGCTTAAAGAGTATTTTGCTGGTATAAATATAGCTACCCCTGCTTTTGTTACTACCATTTTCATGAAATACCTTCGCCATCCCTTCGCTTTCAATCTATGTGTGTCCTTAAATCAGAAGTGAGTCTCTTCTAGGTAGCATACATTTGGGTCATATTTTCTTTAATTGTCGTAGACTCAATCACCTATGTATTTGGACTGTAGAATCTAGCCATTTACATTTAAAGTAAAATCAATAGATAAGTATGGACTTACTTTCATCATTTTTAACCTTTTTCTTGCTGTTTTGTACTTTTTTGTTCCTTTCTTCTCTTACTCTTATTCTTTGTGATTTGATAATTTTTACAGTGATATGCTTAAATTCTTACTCTTTTTCTTTCTGTGTATCTACCATAGGTTATTACTTTGTAGTTGCCATAGGACTTACATAAAACTTCTTGTATTTATGAAAGTCTATTTTAAGCTAATAACAACTTAACTCTAAAGGCATGATAAAACTCTATATTTCTAATCTCTTCCACATATATTTTGGTTTTTTGTCACACTTTATATCCTTTCACCATTGTATCCATTAAAAATTTATTTTTAATACTTTTTTAAACCTAATAGAAGAGTTATAATTCATCCACCACCATTACATTAAAGTATTCCTAATTTAACTACGTATTTATCATCACCAGTAGAGTTGTACTTTCCTATGTTTTCCTGTTACTTATTAGCACCCTTTCATCTCAGCTTGAAGAATTCTTTTAACACTTCCTTTGAGGCTGGTCATAGTGGTCCTTCAACTTTTGTTTGTCTGGAAGCTTTTTATCTCTCATTGAATTCTGAAGGACGAGTTTATTGGGTAGAATATTATTTGTTGGCATTCTTTTCTTTCAATACTATGAATATATTATGTCATTCATTCCCTTGGCCTCCAATGTTTTTGCTAAAAAATCTGCTGATAGTCTTAGGTTGTTCCCTTATTTATGACCAGTTGTTTTTCTTTTGCTGCTTTAAAATTCTCTCCCTATCTTTAACTTTTGACAATTATAGTGTGCCTTGGTGTAGCTTTCTTTATATGCCTCTTATTTGGAACTCTCTGGGCTGTCTAGAAATGAATATCTGTTTCTTTCCTCAGGTTAGGAAAGTTTTCAGCCATCATTTCCTTAAATAACTTTTCTACCCCCTTTCTCTTCTCCTTCTAGGAACTCTATAATGCGTACAGTGTTGCAACTGATAATAGTCCATATGTCCCTTAAGTTACCTTCACTCTCTAACAACCTCAGAAAGTTATGAGGAATAAATGAAATAATCCATGTAAAGCTCTTAGAACAGTGCCTGGCATAATAGGAACTCAAAAATGTTAGTTATTATTACTTCATTATTGTTATTATTGCAGTTGTTGCCATTGTTTTTTCCAAAATGTTTTATTTATTTAACCAATGTTATTTTTTAAAATATTGTAGAAAGTATTACATATGTCCCCTCCCCCACCATTGTCCTCTCCCAGCCTGCCCCCAGTCCCAGGGCCCCAGCCTTCACCCCCTCCCATTGTTTGTGTCTATTGGTTATGCTTATATGCATGCATACAAGTCCTTCGGTTGATCTCTTACCACCCCCTCACCCCCGCCAACCCTCCCCTGACTTCCTGCTGTAGTTTGACAGTCTGCTCGATGTTGCTCTGACTCTGTATCTATTTTTCTTTATGACCATTATTTGGAACTCTTTATCAGGTAAATCACTTATCACCATTTCATTAAGGTATGTTTCTGAAGGTTGTCTAGTTCTTTGGTTTGGAACATAAGATATCCCTGTTTCTTCATTTTCCTTGCCTCTGTGGGTTGATTCCTGCACATTAGATGAAACAAGCACCTCTCCCAGTCTTGACAGCATGATCTTATATGGGCGATGAACCTTATCAAGCAGCCCAGCCAGACTCTTGGCTGTGTCTCAAAATCTTTGTGACTATCCAATCTACCTTCTTTTTTCTTTTTTCTTATGTAATGGAAAGTGTGCCAAAACCTATCAGTATCCCAAAGAAAATAACTGCAGTCATCACCTAGATCAAGCATTTCAAACTCGCGGCCAGCAGGCCGAATGCCTAAAGGAGGCAAG